CTTAAAAATCATTCAGGTAATTATTACAGTGGTAATATGCTTGATATGACTTCTCTCTCAGGGTTATTTATATTTTAAAAAGGAATACTGAGAGTCAGGAATGCCTTAACTTGTAGAATAAGTCCAATGGTACAGAGAGGGATCTGTGGAGTTTCAGGGTGGGAGCTTTTTCAGGATCCATTGAAAATATCCTGTGAGAAACAGCTAACCTCATCAATATACTTAGCCTCAGTTTCCTGTTGTCACACAGGGTTATCATACTGACCTCACAGGATTATTGTGGAGATTAAACAACTTGGTTAGTAATTGTCATAAACTTCTCAAAAAGCAATAAAGTGAGAAGTTCCTAATAACTTCTGTACTATCGTTTGTATAGGTAATCTACTGGATCTACCCCCATGGGGTCTGAAGAGAAGGGAAACCATTTGGACAGTGAATCGTCTGTCTGTCACCCAGGATTATAACCTCTACTTACAGTATTTGCTGGGTCCAACTACAGATAAATTGTCCAGTCTCTAGTTTCACAACTACCCACAAAAATATAGCCCCTGTTTCTTGGATGGACTACAGAGAAATCACCTTTATCACTGGCATCAATGGTCCTCTGGTACCTACCCACATGGTTGCCACACTGTGTGAACCACGGCAGTGCGTGGACCAACTTATGGACAAGATGCCCTCCATCCTGAGATAAGTAACTGAATCAGGGACACAATCCATGAAGAAAGATAAAATTTTCTACTGTTTTACATTGAATGAGCACTGTTCCCCACCATGACACATCTTTATATTTTACCCAGAATGGATCTTCACAGACCTTCAAATGCTGCTGTCCTCTAACCAATGCATTAGGCACAGTCTATTCCTTTTTCACTACTTTCATTCCTAAGGTCCATAGAATATTAGAAGTCTACTTGATTATCTGTGGAAGTAGTAAGTTTTAGGTATTTGGAGGACATTAAATTATGGAAAAGTGAAGGTCTCATAGCTCCTGATCAAAGTGTCAAAGAAGGTTAGTATGGAAGGATCTCCTGGGACATTCATTTTATTTTACAGAGCAGAGAACTGAGGCCTGAGCTGAAAGCCACATGTGGGAATGAATATGAGGCAGATCTGAAACGAGGCCTTGGGTACTACACATCCATTCCTTTTTCTCTGTTGTGCTTGCCATCAGCACAAGTGCAACCAGGAGGTGCCCTTGTTTATAACAACCCTATCTTATTGTTCCCTGGGAGTTAATGAATGTCTCATATTCCCACTTACATTTTAACCTTCTTCCTCCCTTACCATGAGCCTTCTCATATTTCCTCCTCAAGTTTCAGGGCAGTGATGTGAACTAATAGGTCTTTACTCAACACTTTTGCAATGACCAGTGGCCACTCAATACTTGTCACAAGCTCAGCTGTGGTCTGTTAGCCAACATGCCAATGTCCTCTGTCATAAAACACAACCATAATGACACCAGGGAAAATGGCAGAGGGGTGGAGGATAGTTTCTGCAACTCGCCAGTTCCATGGGCTGCGTGCAGTATGTCCTGTGCCCTACAGTCACATGTGCTGGAGTGCATCAGTTGAGAGAGGGGAGAAGAGACATCACCATAGGAAAGGAAGGAATGCTGTGCCTTGCCAACCATTTCCGAGGTGGTGAAGCTGATGACAGGGTGCAGAGCATACAGCTTTCTGTGGATGCCAAACATGTGGGCTTGAACCCAAGTAACCAACTTATTCAAATCAAAGAAAATCTAATCAGCAAATATTTTCAATGCCTACTATGTGCATCCTGTGGTTAGAATGGGTGACATTTAGGTCCTACTCAACCCCCTGAACAGCACCACTCTTTGCTCCAAATGCCTGATAGTATATTAATTGAATATTCATGTTTTGAACTGAGCATCTGCTGGCATATGTTGAGGTGCGTACAAAACCAAAAGTTATAAATAAAGAAATTATTTCTTTAGCACTTTAATGGTACTCTTGTCAAGCTCCCTAGATGGAGACTGTAAGCAGTTTACCCCCATCCTCCAATGTTTTCTAAGGCTGCCTCCCCTCTTTCTGTGTCCTGCTCTATCAGAATGCAGGAAAGCTAAGCAGGCCAAGCTTCCTCCCATAGCTGCAGGGAGATATACAGGTGAGAACACCACCAGAGGCAACATCCTTCTGAAATCAGGGTTTGGTTGCCTCCAGGCTCACAACCACTCAAGGCCAAGAGGGAACCCTATGCATAATTTGGCATCTGTGGTGCTCCAAGAACAAAGGATATGATATCCCTTTGTTTCTGGACATCCTAAAGTTAAAATGACATCTTGGCTGACAATTATAATTCTGCATTCTTTTATAAATCATGTTATTTCTGAAATTATTTAAAGCAGGTGAATAAATATTCGGTTACCTCACTCCTGGCACTTCTCCTGTGAGAACTTCCAGGGTCTTTACTAATACTACCACCAAGTACTGCAGTCATAAAATGAATAAAGTCAAGGGATTTGCTTCTAAGTTGCTTTAGGCCATTTACTGTCTTCATTCTTCAGTAAGAAGAAACAACCACTAAGTTGAGGGTGGGAGGACCTCTCCATTTGTGAGGGCAGTCTCTGATTTTTCAGGGTCCCCTAGCTGTTATCAGACAGGCTTTGAACACACTCCCGTTAGCATGTTCATGTTTGCATTTCTTGTTCTCTAAGCTCCTCAAAGTCAACAGATGCCTCATATCCCCCATGGCACTGAGCATGATGATCTAAACAATAATTATGATATGGAGTTTATAGATAAGCAAAGAAGGAACTGCTAAGGCCATGCTTGATTGTAGCCTTCCTAAAGGGAAAGTTTAAGGCAAGAAAATATGGAAATATGGGCGGCCATGCCCTAGGCTTGCAGCTCCCTCTTCAAGAATATAAAATCTTGGGTCATTTGCCTCTTATACTTAACACTGCCTACTGGAGAGGGAGATCTTTGTAGCTAATCTGCTCCATGAGCCACTGGGTGTCCTCACTGTCCATGCTCAGCAAGTCAAAAGAAAACACATTTAATGTGCTTTTCTCAGGCACTTCTGCTCTGAATCTCTGCTTCCTTTCCTAGGTACATGAATAGGTCTGGACAACCTAGAAGAAAGCTTAACATTTGCATATCTGGGTATGCTGTTCTACATAGAGCTTTGGATGAATTAGAAAAAGGCAGAAAACCGTACTTGAACAACAATAAAAATGTTCATATATATATATAAAGGCACTCTGCTGGGCAGATCCACCTACAGACAGGTAGCTTGATGAGCTTGATGTGTGGAGCCTAGGTCAGATTTTTATCCTGCTGACACGCTCCCTTGAATTATGGAAATCTGTGGTACTTTCTTACCCTTAAACTCAGAACCTGGATCATGTTCTGAATGGTCTGTCTCCTCTTTTCTGAGTCCCACTCTGATCCTTCTACCTCTAGAAAATCCCATGGCTCTATTCAAGAAGAAAGCTTCTAAGACAGTTTCATCAAAACCAAGTTTCAACTCAAAAGTCCAGGACACTTTTATTCTCTTAACCCCACCCCCAGTCAAGTAATGACTTCAGAGGAAAAATCGGTTGGAAGAAGGATGGAAGGTATCCATACCTCCTAGTCTTTTCTATACCCTGACAACTTTTTGTTTGTATTCTCAACCTTATTATACTTTTATTTAATTAATTTTGTACTAACTGAATTTCTTTGTTGCCAATTTTGCCCATGTGCCCAAAATAGAAGGACAAAAAGCCACAGCCTCTACCCTACCTACCCATGCTAACACCTCCATGTAATTTTGTGATCCAGAGATGACCCTGGGCTACATGTTGGAATTTCTTTACTGTAGAAGAACTATTTCTGCAAAAAAAATTTGAAGTTGTCATTTTCATTTAAAAGATAAGATGATAAAACACACACACACACAAACCATTATTTGTAAAATGCCTACAGATGATGAAGAGGAATGCATATCAATATATACACATGCATACAGATGAGTGATGGGGCCCGTGTGTACGTGTCTACCCTCAGAGGCCAAAACAAACCTTTTAGAGATGAAGAGAGTGATGGAATACTAAGGAAAATGACAGGAATCAAGAGTGATTTCAAATTCCTTATAGCTTTTCCTTCCACCAGTCCTTCCAGATTAAAAAAAAAATTTTTCAGAATTCCATTTACATTTGATACCTAAATCAGCTTCAAAAAACAGTCACATGGGTGGCAGAAATGCCAGGGTTACTAAGAAGGAGTCTCATTGTGGTATGAGAATGATTGCTAGTGAGAAAGGGAGATTTTTGAGTCCTCTTCTGGTATTGCTTAGCTAAATAAACTCTGATACCTCTGTGCCTCAGTGTTTGATATCTTAGATTCTTTCCAGAGTTTGCTAGTGTTCTGTGGTTATATTATTAAAAAATCATGTAGATATTTGAAATAATGACTACCATATACATGACAACTGTCACTGCCACCACTATCATACTGACTTCTTTTGAGAACAATTTGCAATTACTCAGTTACACCTGTACCTTAAGAAGTGAGCAAATAGTGGATTTCCTCATTTTGCAAAGAGAAATATAGATAGAATTTTAGTCACTTGACCAATATATTTGAGTGGTGCCAATTTCAAACTTCAAAAGTGCCAAAAACACCAATTGCAAGACTGTCTCAAACTCTAATGATAGAGGACCCTTTTAATTGGGTTTCCAAAGTAGCTGTCAAGGTGAATAATAAAAATTCCAGGAAAATTTGATCTTCAGAAAGCTTGGGCTCTGGTTATGGTCCTAAATTTGGTCCAGGTTCAGATTTTTCAAATGTTATTCCAAATACTCCCTAGCCCAATAATTTGGGATTACATTCAAACCTGAGTGTCCCTTCCCTTCACAATCAGCATGCATGCAACTCTTTACATGGTATATAACTTAGGAAGTTGGACATGTCACTTCTTCACTGCACAAAAAAATTAGACTTAGTTCCTCAATCTAAAAATATCTTGGATAAGCAGGTCTTTTTCTTTTTTTTTTTTTAAGTACAGAACACTTCAAATATCTGCATGTCACCCTTGCACAGGAGGCATGCTAATCTTCTCTGGATCATTCTGATTTTAGTATATGTGGCGCTGAAGCAAACATGAGGAGGTCTTTTTGAGAGATAGAATTGTACATGGTAAAAATTACAGGTTTTGCAATCACATAGACCAACAATAACTTTAAGTATCTATGTTAAGAGAAGGCAGCATTGAGAACTACCCACATGTGGATTATTCATCCTTTACCTCATCAGATATAGTTGTTGGCACATAGCATGTACTCAATAAGTATTTATTGAATTGAATTAATCTATTCTCATATTGAACAAATTTACTTTCACTCAAAGAGGACTCCATAATCATTTGGTAACCTGATACTGTGCTTCTTGTTTTTCTTTAAGGGAGAGAGAGTCCTGGGTTTGGGATATTGGTGTCTTTGTCGCCACCTCATCCATAAAGCTTTCCCTGACAGCTCCGGTCTATTCAACTCCCAATTTTATGACTCCCTGCTGTACTTCTTCCAGGTTTCACTCACTTTGGCACATACATGATACCTTATCTTGCCATGTAAAATGTGTTTCATAAACACATCATCCTTCCTATGACTCTATAAGTTCCTCAAGGGCAGAGGCCATGTTTGATATTTATTTTGGGGATCCCATGGCACACAACACAATACAGAGCACGTAGCAAGCTCTGAACAAGTACTTGTTAAATTGGTTTGAATTTTAAAGAGAATACTCTCTTGCCAGTGATGATTTTGTTTAAGAGAATTATCAAGAGGTGGGACTGGCTGTATACACCACTTATTTCACCCAAATTAAACCCACAGGCCTCTGCACTTGAAGTGCTAGCTAGGAAGCAGAGGATCAGGAAGCAGCTGCTTACTTTCAACAAAGAGGAGATTGTATTTCAGCAAAGGACTGCAGGATTTCACATTTTAGTCACTGGCAACTCTTGACCAAACCCTTTGGTGTTATCAGGAATAAAGAGTAACCCAGCGATATGTCAAATATCAATTTCCAATTACGTTCCTGTGACACATTTCTGCCACTTGGGAAAACTCCCAAGGGATCTGTTGCCCCTTATCAGCTCAGATCAGGCTTAACTTTCAGTTAAACAGGTAACACTCGGCAGGCACCACCTGGTTTAGCCTCAATATTACAGTGTCCTCCTTTGACACTCAGATTCTCTTGTGAAGTCTTCAATATTGGCTTACACTGTCACTGGAGACCTGGCCCAAGTGTGGAAGGCCTCCTGATATTATACACTGAACCATATGTGCTGGGGTGGAATGGGGATAACTCTGACACCTATGAAGAGTTGTTGTCACTAAGGGTTCCCAACTCTTAATTTGCATTGAGATGTTGAACACAGGATCACAGGAACAAAACCTCATGCAGGACATTTTGCATTTTCAACTCCAGCCAAATGAAAAAAAAGAGGGAGTCTTTAAAGTTTTACCTTAGATACTCAAAACACAAAACAGTATTTCTACCCTTTAGCTCACAGAAGGCAGGCCACAGACTAATTGAAAACAATCTGTGGTATTAAGTATATTAAAACTAAGAATCTGAAAAAAAAAAAACAACCAGAAATCACATGCACCCCTCTTATTACAAAGTAATGGAACAGAATTTGGAAACCCCAGAAAATATCTCTGGGTTCATAAATCACTGCAGTTGGAGGGAAACACAAATGGCCAGCACCTGGACTCAGCCTTCCACTGGAGCAGGAGAGCAGCCTGAAGAATCCAACTGAGGGGCCAAGGCTCCAGACTGTGCTCTGTGATTAATGACTTGAGTGAAAGGTCTCAGTTGAGGCTGAACAATTAACTTGTTCTCTCTATATCTCAGAACTCTCCACAGCATAAATATGTCTTCGCTGATTGTTCCTATTTACCAAAATGTGAGCCAGTCTGGGAAGCTTCGAATGTGTCATCATGAGACTGTTTCTGACAATTGGGAGAGCCCTGGTGTTTGTCAGGACTACTTTCGTCAAATCATCTGTGTTGACTCTGCATGCATGTCTCAACCTTTCAGTTCCTTTTCAAGTTTAAGAACCACCTCAAATGAGGCAATAGCATTGGCCTTGTTCTGTCAAAAAAAAAAAAAAAAAAGTCCACAGCTCAGAGGATTGTAAATGGACAGCATATGGCCTGGCTTGTTTCTGGTCATTCCCAAAAAAGTTCTTGGGGAATTGAATGTCCGTGAGATTAATGGTTCCCTCCTGTCCTGCCTTTATCCTCTGGAATAGTTTTCTCTAATCTCTTTCAGATCCTCTAAAGCATTTAGACTGAACCAATCACTTATCCTGAATCTACAACTGAGACTCTAAGATCTGCTAGAACCAAAGGAATTCTCCAAACTACTTTCCCTTTCTCCTGGATGTGAATTCATAGATGGGACAGAAAGGCAGGTACCCCAGAACATGATTTTGAATGTGGGAGTATTAAGAGGAAGTACCCAAGGAATCCCATTGCCTTTCTCATTTGACCTTCCACAACTGCTTGATTTCTAACAAGTGCTCTATAAAAAGTGGTTATGACCTACTTCATTGGGTTTTTGTGGGGACTGGTAAGATAATGCACATGTAGGTGCTAGCACAGTACCTAGAACATGGTAGGTACATAATATCGTAGCTATGGTTATTACTACTCAAATTAGCTAATATTGACTAATGAGACACTAAGGGAGTTGGACAAAATGAAGCAGAAACAATCATGGCTTAGAATATTGATATGAGGAAGCAGTTCAATGTGGTGACATCAAAGAGATGGATACTTAAAAAGCACTGATGAAGGATACTGTCTTCTTGGTCTGAAGAATTTCTGCAGCCTCTAAATTTGCTTGTCTCCATGAAAGAAAAAATCTAATTTAAAAACTATACTACATCAGGAAGAAAATGAACCAACGATGTATAGGATGGGATAATTAGAATATTCTCCCTGAAATTCCTGGCATAATAGCAAGACAGTGAGGCATCCTGAAATTCCTGGTATAATAGCACAACAGTGAGGCATCCTTCACAGTCTTGTGCAGCTGCTCCAGAGTAAAGTTGGGATCTGTATCCTTCATTCTGCATGTCCAGCATGTTCTTTCCCACCTCTGACACATGATGTCCTTTGCATCAATAAGGACTGGTGCCAGACACACTAAATTGCCTTTGACTGCATTTAACTGATACAGGACATTTTTATGATTCTTTTTTGTTGCATCATTTTTCACTTTTGACTTTATAATTCTCTGCTGACTTTAAATAAAGCTTTGCCAGACTAGCCAAGGTGGTTTTTAATAGAGATTTAGGGGCTAGGTTGTGCTGTGGTTTGGATTCAGATTCTACTCCAACAACGAGGGGAAATTAACTAGGTGGTTTCATTTCAAGTGCCCATTTATACTCAGAATAGGCAGAGAATTTATCTTCTTCCAAGCCTTGTAATCATGACACTACAAAGTGATATCCAAGAAATAAAAAATTAGGTAGCAATAGCTTCAACACCACAAAACCACTACACAATGTCCCTGTAAGCCCAGATGACTGGGATAATATAAAAACAGCAGTGGGATCACTTGCTAAGTGATAGGGAGGAATTTGACCACATTCTGTCCTATGCCAAAGACAATGCTTGTTCTCCATAAAATGAGGAACTCAAATGACCCCACAGCAGCTACTCCTTCCTGCTCTGTGCTATCCCTAGACCCCAGTGCCTTGTGCCCAGATGAAACACTAGAAGCCAGCTGGCCTTCAGTGAGTGGGAAAGGTAACATGACTGGCAAAGAAACCAAGTCAGATAAGAAGTTAGTCCCCCAAGTTGACATCTTTTTACAAGAAGAAGAACCTTGAGTTAATTATTTCTCAAAAAATATAAAACTGGTAACTCAGTAAAATTTTGGTTTTGTCTTATTTTTCATTAACATGATCCATTGATATTATCATGCTCCATTGAGGCTCCAATGCTTGCTCCATTGCAAAGGAATAGATATAACATATGTAAAATATTCAGAATAATTTTTAAAAATCCGTGTATCTATTAGTAAACTTAGAAATAAATAAATACCTTTAGTTTTCCTATCAGATTAGATTTTTTTGCTTCTACCTACCACTGATGGTAAATATATCCCTGAATTTTAAGTTTTTCATTCCCATGGTTTAATTTACATGGATTTACATTAATTTACATTGATTATCTATTTTCTAAATAATCATTGAGTGGTTTTTAGAAGGTTAAAAATTCTCTGTTAAACTAACCTTGAAATGCAGTGTTTGCACACAGACTTGCAAGAATCAGCATGTGTCTATGTCTTTCATTCCATTCTTACATTTACAGCAGGAAAATAAAGCTAAGCCAGATGGGCAATATTTGGCTGGCCACTTGCTTTTGTAAATAAAGTTTTATTGGAACACAGTCATGACCATTTGCTTATATATTGCATGTTACAATGACAGAGTTGAGTAGTCACAACAAAAACCATCTGACCCATTTACAGTAGAAGTTTTCTGACCCATAATTTAGGGCATCTCCATTTACAAGCACAGATATCTCACGTTCAGCATGTCTGATCAAATCTGTTCCTCCTAAGTACCATTTCTCAGAAAATGGCTAGATCTTCCACAAAGGTACTGAGGTCCAAAACTAGGGAGCTACCTGATGTTCTTCCCTCCTATTCACTATTTACAACCCATCAGTGGATACCACCCAAGTATTCAAACTTCTCAGCAATACTTCTATGAAGTCCCTTTCTCTGTACCATAGCCAGCCCTTTGTTCAAGCCTTATGTTGGTTCAGGAAACCCTCCACCCAATGACCGAGTCTTTTGTGAGCCCAGGTTGCATAGCACTTATAATACTTCAAGGCATTCATCTGAGTTTCTGTCTGCTCTCTTGATCATCTTGGTCTAAAGTGTAAATTCCTCAAGGGCAGGGGCCCTTGCCATCTCTGCACACAGCACAGGGCCTTGCATAGCAAATGCTTCATAATAATTTAGCCTCCTGTAGTTTGCTTAGTCCTTCTCAGAAACCACTGAGGGCCTGACATGGCAGGACTCTTGTGGCTGCCATGTCACTAGTCAGCAGGGTTTGGAAACAGTCACTACTCTCTTAA